ACTGTAACAGGGGAGGGGGCGGTGTTTAATGCCCCTATGCGTCTAAATTGGCTTAACGCTGCTGGGCGTCATGCCCATTACCACTGCTCTAAGCCCCCTCCTAATGTGCAGCCACACTTTTGGAGGAAACATTTGGAGGGGGCTTAAGGCAAGGCTGCGGAGGGGTAGTATATATATATATATATATATATATATATATATATATATATATATATATATATATATATATATATATATATATATATATATATATATATATATATATATATATATATATATATATATATATATATATATATATATATAGGGGCCTGTTCCTGTGAGAATGCACCTTGTGGAGAGAAATGAGAATAAAATCTAGCCGTCGGATCTGATGCATTGTGCGGCTCAGATTGCATCCCGCGTTCAGATTTTGAGATAGTGCATTTTCGAAGGTTTATGGTGCATCTGATTTTGATGAAATCTTGACCCTTAGATCTCACAATCTAAAGCACCAGATTCATTCTCATTTCTCTCCTAAGATTGCATTCTCACCAGAACCAATATATATATATATATATATATATATATATATATATATATATATATATAAAATATGTGTGTGTGTGTATTAAAACACCTATTTAAAAAAATAGATTTACAAGTTTTTTTAAGATTCCGCCAGCATAGCTAGGGTTATATGAGGTTTGAAAACAACTGCGGTTTTAATTGGGTTTCAATTGGTCTATTGTAAGAAATTTGGAAATAAAATTTATATCAATTGTACATACAACTTTGATATAAAATTTGTCATACCAAACTAAGAATTGGAATGACATTACAACTTTAATTATACCAAACAAAAGATTTGAAATTGAATTAGAAATCAATTCCATCATTTCAATTTCATAGAATTTAAATTCTAATTCAATTTCAATTTTGTGTATCAAATGGAGCTTACGAGTTTTTTTATTCATGTTGCCACAAATTAAAATTGTTACTCATATTTTACTTTCTCGTATAATGAAGGAGAAAAAGTTGTCGTGGGAGTTTCTTCCATGTCAACTTGATGAGGAAAGGTTTGACGTCGGGTCTCTGCTAGACGACTGGGTTGTAGTTCATAATAATGAGGTTTCGGCGGGTGAGCTTAAGAGGATCCTTACCAAACTTCGTAAGGATGGGCGATTCTCTATAGCTCTAAAGCTATGTTCCTTCTGCCTTATTTCATGGCACGTTTGATTAGACTGTGAATTCTTTTTTGAAAGGGCTAAAATTCACCATTGGTCCTTCAACTTTATGAGTTGTGCACAATTGGTCCTTCAACTTTCAAAAGCCCGTAAATAGTCCTTCAACTTTATGAGTCGTGCATGATTGGTCCTTCAAGTTTCAAAAGTTCATAAATAATCCTTCAGATACACGTCAGCTCTCCATATGAACTCCTTTTGACATTAAACGTTAAAAACTAAATGAAGTATTAGTTTCATATAATACGAGTAAGTTGCACTAGGTACAACTACTCTGTGTTATATGGAGCTAGTATTTCATTTAGTTTTTAACGTTTATTGTCAAAAGGACTTCATTTGAAGGGCTTATGTGTACTTGAAGGACTACATATGGACTTTTGAAACTTGAAGGATCAATCGTGCATAATTCATAAAGTTGAAGGACTATTTATGAATTTTGAAACTTGAAGAACCAATTGTGCATAACTAATAAAGTTGAAGGACCAATAATGGAGTTTAGCCTTTTCGAAAGCAAACGAAAATTATTTTCCCATTGATGGGAGAAAATGTTTCCTTTCCATACCACTAATGTTACCAAACATGGAAATTAGATCGTAATTTTCCAGAATGTTTTTCCCAAAAGCAAACTGACCTTTATTTTAATTTAAATTAGTTATACTAAAAAACTTGTATTAAACATTTCTTTAATGATAAATGTAAAAATAGATAATAAATATATTTAGAGAACATTTTTAACTAAATATTTTAATGAAAATGTTTTTTTATTTGTTGTTTTTTTTTGCACAGAAAACCTAACTTTCAATACCATCTCAAAAAACATATACAAGAAGTTTAATAACTCCCTGTTACATCATCTTCCTATAAGTGATATAACTATGAATATAAGAGTAAACAATCGAGTAGCCTCCTCAAGAGTACATATTTCATTCGGTTTTTACCATATTTCGTTAGAGTTATTTTACAGTAAATTACTAGTTCGAATTATTTCTCATTACTAGTTCGAATTATTTCCTTTCAAACAAAAAAAATTACTAGTTCGAAATCTGATGCAAATTAAAAAGAGAAAAGACACGGTTTATCCCCAAACTTTTTGAAAAATTGCATGGTTTATCCTGACCATTAAGAAAAGTGCACCAAAAACTCTTGAACAATTTAAAACGTTGCAATGTTGGTCCTAAAATGCTAGATAGGGAGCGCGTTGCTCCCACACGGGAATTGCTAGTATGATTCACCTAGCCCTTGTGAATTTTTCAAAATACTCTTATCCAAAATTGTCGTCTTTATTTAAATATTTAAGGGTAAATCATGCAATTTTCTAAAAGTTCTGGGGTATTTGGTGCACTTTTAAATCTTCAGGGGTAAAATGTACAATTTTTGAAGAATTTAGGGATCGATTACACTTTTTAATATTCATGGGTAAACCGTGCAATTTTTTAAGAATTTGGAGATAAACGGTGCACTTTCTCAATTTAAAAAGTAGCTAACATCAAATTTTCTGTGGAGCATAAAATAATAAGCAGAAAATTACTCGCGGGTGACGCGAGTTTTGTCGAAATAACTTTCAGGTCCCTCTATTTTCAAAAAGACAACCGAGGTCCTTATATTTTATTGTAATGACTGGGAGGGGACATTTTATCCAATACAACATCCGTAAGTGTTAATAAAGGTATTTTTTTCGTATTTTTCCAATACCGTTTTTTCCTATTTTGCCATTACCTTGTTTTTTCTTTTTTAAAATTTTTTTATTTCATTAGTTTTAATATAATACTAACAATTTTGAATTTTTATACAATTTTATAGAAGAAATTCAAAAATAACACTTTAAAAAATAGTAACAAAATGAAAGAAAAACAAAGAAATAAAAAAAGGAGCGAACTAAAATTTATTACCTTAAAACATTTAAAAAAGAATAGGAAAAAAATACATTTATTAACATTTATAGATGGAATATTGGATGAAATGTCCCCTTCCAGTCTTTACAACAAAATGTAAGGACCTCTGCTGTCTTTTTGAAAATAGAGGGACCTAGGAGTTATTTCAACAAAACTCGCGTCACCCGTGAGTAATTTTCTGAATAATAAGTGATATATGTATATTACGGGGTATAAAGTATTTTATGAAATAAATAATAAATATTTAGAAAAAGAATATATCCTAACTCTATGCATAATAAACGAGGCAAGTAAAAAAAATGAAGAGAGGGTACTCGGTAACACTTTGACCATTTTTTTAACGCAACACTGTGAAGAGTTTTTTGTAAAAAAAAAACAATGGGGCGATTTCAAAAAGTAGACAAAAACTTTTTTGCATGTTAAATTGTGAACTTTAATATTCAGGCTTGAATAGTTTGTCAGTAAGTGTTGATCAATCTAAATTATTGGTACAGTTATGAGAGATATTAACAAGTAAATACTACGTAGTATACCACAACATCCAAGCGTTATCCCAATAGGTAGGGTCGGCTATATGGATCAAACGATGCCGTTGTGCCCTATCATTTATCATATTTGCAGATCATTAACGTGAAGGGGTCAAGGTGACCTGCGCGTGTATGCTCTTGGTGGTGATGTGATACATGATAAGTCGCAATGGCGTTGTTTTATCCATGTAGCCAACCCCACCAAGTGGGATAAGTCTTGGTTGTTGTTGTTGTTGTTGTATAGTTTCTGGAAGGATTTGAGATACATTATATTCCGATAGTGCATATCTTTCGTGGCAGGCTTTTGAATGGATGTGGAAGAAAGGTAATTATAAATTCTCATCTATGGACCATGCGGTCCATGCGAACTTGATTTATAAGGTTCGAGGATGTTCTACCGCAGAGCACTATGTCAGGAACTTGCCAGAGCAAGCTAGAAACGAGAGGACGTATGGTGAACTCCTGCATTGCTACGTGCATAAAGACAGAACAGAGAAGGCCTTGTTCCATTTTGAGAAGATGAAAGAGTTGGGTTTTGTGTCGTCGCCCCGCCCTTTCAATGAGATCATGCACCTTTATGCCAAGAGTCTCAAAATTGAAAAGGTCCTTGGGGTGTTGGCGGATCTGAAGAAGACCGAGGTTTTGCCTGATAATGATAGTTACAGGATCTGCATTAGTTCATTTGGGTTAAAGCACGATATGGATGGGATGGAGAGAATGCTGAGAGAAATGGAGAGTCAGCCCCACATTGTGTACCTGACCACATGCATACGGCACCATCGACTCAAGATACTTTCTCTTAAGGAACATCTATTCCGGTGGCTACGAGAACTTTTCCGTTCCTACCGCAATGTCTTCTTCTTCTTCTTATCTCCTTTGATGTTAAACTACTCGTCACTAATGCTCTTACACCACTTCAGTGATCACTTCGAACCACTCAACCGACTCCGATAGAAGTATGCCAAGGAGTGGGAAGCACTCGGTAATTGGCGCAGTGTGGATGATATTTGCATCCCCTACACAATCATTGAGGAATACATCAGAAATGGTGCATTATTGAAGGCGTATTATATAATCAGTCATTGGACCATTAAGGGGAAGATGGGCGTCTACAACCTCTCACGCATACTTTGCAATGAATGCATTAAAGTGGGCGACCTGCTTCAAGCATTTAAGTGCTTTCTGGTAGAGCATTGGAACAGTGTTAATGTTAATAGGTTGTTCATCCAATACCTAGAAGAAGAATGTGGATCATTTTTCCCCTTACGCTGTGCTGGATCATTGTGCACTAGATCACTTAAAACTGCAGCGGGCAAAACGTTGTTGGAGCTCATTCCACTCAATGAGAAATTCAAATTCAAAGTCGCTTTACTGGAACATTCGGAGGACTCAGGGGCCCAAGCAGTGAAGAATTTGGATTATGAGAATATTATAAAGTCACTAGTGGAGTCTGGGGAGTTGAGTGAGGCCAGGAAGATGGCAATGGAGTGGGGCGCAACTGGGAACTTGACGAGTCTCGACGAATTAAACATTTCCAAGTTGATCATCGACGGATATTGTAAACAGTCCCTCTTTATGGAAGCGGAGGCAATGGCTGTGGATTGGACAAGAGACAACAAGTGTTGGGTTCGAGGGATTTGGTTGATACTCGCTTGTCATTACCAGGAGCATGGAAAAATGGTAAGAGGATTGGAGTGCATGAGGAGATTTTTTAGCTTAACACCGAGTCTCAAAGGCAACAACTATTTGATGCTTCAGATGTTTATGTTTATGGTTGAATATTCAAGAGGCATTAAGGCAGCCGGGTGCTTTGGGAATCGCTGGTTAGATTTCATTGACTTGGATCGTTTGCTGTGTCCAAAAGAATTCTGGTATCGTTGTAAATCGTACCCCTCCAATTAGTATTAGGGGTGTGCATTATTTGGTCCTCATTCGGGTTCCGGTCCGGTTTTGGGGTAATCTTGTTGTTGTGTTGGTAGTTAGTTATAGAGTTATTCTTTTCATTGACATTATTTATTAGCTAGCGCAATAATGCTCTTTTGTTTTCATTCCTCCTCTTGGACTGTATTACCCTTATCCAAATCAGTTCAACTACTCATGTATCAGAATAATGATGTTGTACTTGTTAGAAATTCTCTGAAACTTAATCTTTTGGATACGATCTTGTGGAGCCCGACTTAACCATTACATTGACATAAGTGATAAGTTTCATTATATTCTCATCTGTGTTTACATGTCTCAAATATAAAGGATAAGTAATTACAAATAATTTTTAAAAAGTAGGATTGATTCTTTCTTTCTTTTTTTTTTTTGGTTTTTTACATTTTACTTGAGTATTTTTCTGGTTTTTATGAAGTCAATAATTGTTACTCCCTCCGTCCACAATTTATCTTCTTACTTTTCTTATTTGTTTGTTCATAACTTATTTTCTCATTTCCTTTTTTGACAAATATTTTTTCTTTATGTCACATTATTACCGTTAGAGGTGGCAATTGGATTAACTGGATCAGTTTCGGGTTGGATTTTTTTCGGTTCGGATATCTTTTAGTTATATGTTATAAACGGTTTGCTTCGGATTGTATCGGTTAAATTTTGGTTCGGATTTGATTCGGTTCGATACATTTTTCGGTTCGGTTCGGTTTGGTTTCGAGTCGGTCCAGATTTGGTTCAGTTATAAATCTGTTCGGATAGATTTTGGTTTACATAAAATTTGAGTTGGATATATATTGGTTTCGGGTCTATTTCGGTTTCAGATCAAATATAATTTGGATATATATTATTTTCTAATTAAAATTTAACTATCAATATTTGTTTTTATGTTT